TCACAGCATTACTCACACAAGCCAAACAGCGGAAGCAACCCCGGCGTCCACCTACAGACGAGTGGAGGTACAAAGTGTGCTATGTCCACAGCACGATGACTCTTCAGCCTTAGAGAGGTAGGAAATGCCGCCACACACCACCACACAGATGAACCCTGAGGGCACTGTGCTGAGTGAAATAAGCCAGTCACAAAAGGACAACAATCGCACAATTCCTTTTCTGTGGGGTCCCTGGGTCAGTCAAATCCAGAGTCAGAAAGTAGAGGCTGGGCGCGGTGGCTCATGCCTGTAATCCCAGCACTTTGGGAGGCCAAGGCAGGGGGATCATCTGAGGTCGGGAGTTCAAGAGCAGCCTGACCAACATGGAGAAACCTCATCTCTACTAAAAATACAAAATATTATCTGGGCATGGTGGCGCATGCCTGTAATCTCAGCTACTTGGGAGGGTGAAGCAGGAGAATCGCTTAAACCCGGGAGGCAGAGGTTGTGGTGAGCTGAGATTGTGCCATTGCACTCCAGCCTGGGCAACAAGAGTGAAACTCCATCTTGGGAAGATGGACGGGGTGGTGATGGCTGCACAACAGTGTGAACTTAATGCCATGGAAACTCTATGCTTAAAAATGGTACATTAGGCTGGCGTGATGGCTGGAAATTCTACGCTTAAAAATGGTACATTAGGCCCGCGTGATGTCCGGAACTCTACGCTCAAACATGGTATATTAGGCCGGGCGTGATGGCTCACACCTGTAATCTCAGCATTTGGGGAGGCCAAGGCAGGTGGATCATGTGGGGAAAAGAGAGATCAGATTGTAACTGTGTCTGTGTAGAAAAATGAAGACATAAGAAACTCCATTTTGATCTGTACTAAGAAAAATTGTTCTGCTTTGAGATGCTGTTAATCTGTAACTCTTGTCCCAACCCTGTGCTCACAAAAGCATATCCTGTATGGAATCAAGGTTTAAGGGATTTAGGGCCATGCAGGATGTGCTTTGTTAAAAATGTGTTTGCAGGTAGTATGCTTTGTGAAAGTCATCGCCATTCTCCATTCTCTATTAACCAGAGACACAATGCACTGTGCAAGGCCACAGGGACCCCTGCCCAAGAAAGCCTGGGTATTGTCCAGGTTCCCCCACACTGAGACAGCCTAAGATATGGCCTCATGGGAAGGGAAAGACCTTACAGTCCCCCAGTCTGACACCCATAAATGGTCTGTGCTGAGAAGGAGTAGTGCAAGAGGAAGGCCTCTGTGCAGTTGAGATAAGAGGAAGGCATCTACCTCCTGCTTGTCCCTGGGAATGGAATGTCTTGGTGTAAAACCCGACCATACATTCTTTTTACTAAAATAGGAGAAAACCGCCCTATGGCTGGAGGGGAGACATGCTGGCGGCAATACTGTTCTGCTGCTCTTTACTGCACTGAGATGTTTGTGTAAAGTTAAACATAAATCTGGCCTACGTGCACATCCAGGCACAGCACCTTTCCTTAAACTTATTTATGACAGAGTCTTTTGTTCACACATTTTCCTACTGACCCTCTCCCCACCATCACCCTATAGTCATACCACATTCCCCTCACCAAAATAGTAAAGATAGTGATCAACAAATACTGAGGGAACTTAGAGACCAGCAGCGCCAGTGCAGGTCCTCACTTGCTGAGCACCGGTCCCCTGAACCCACTTTTCTTCCTCTATACTTTTGTCTCTGTGTCTTATTTCCATTTCTCAGTCTCTCGTCTCCACCTTGCAAGAAATACCCACAGGTGTGGAGGGGCAGGCCTCCTTCAGGATCACTTATGCTCAGGAGTTTGAGATCAGCCTGGGCAACATGATGAAACCCCATCTTTACAAAAAAAATAAAAATTTGCCAGGCGTGGTGGCACACGCCTGCAGTCCCAGCTATTTGGGGCGGCTGAGGCAGGAGGATTGCCTGAACCTGGGAGGTTGAGGCTACAATGAGCTGAGATTGTGCCGCTGCACTCTAGCCTGGGTGACAGAGCAAGACCTCATTTCCGAAAAAAAAAAAAGTACATTTTATGTGGATTTTACCACAATTAAACCAAAACAGTAACAGATAACAGACACACAAAATGATTGGCGTGCTGGCACGCGCCTGTAGTCCCAGCTACTCCGGAGGCTGAGGCAGGAGAATCGCTTGAACCCGGCGGTGGAGGTTGCAGTGAGCCGAGATTGCACCACTGCATTCCAGCCTGGGGGACAGAGTGAGACTCCATCAGAGATTGGGAGACGCCAGATTCTAGGTGTATAAAAATATAACATATAAAGTTGGGGAGGCCATGTTAGTTACCTTTTCTACTTAACTTCTTGTTTTTATTCCCCAAATGTCCTGAAGAACAAACTCTCCCTTCCCCAGTATGATACCAATTAGCATTCCCAGGAGCCCACATCTTCAAGAACACAATCCAGGAATGCTAACCAGACCACAGGGCCCTTCCCAGACTTCCCAGTAGTTTTTCCTTTCATGCAAACCCACCAGACACAGGGCCACATCAGCGGACAGGTACTGCCCACTAGAAACACAAGTGTGTGACCATGAGGGTGGACAGAGTGGCCTGGCCCGTACTGCTCGGAGAGCACGCATCACGATTTCAGAAGCTGCCTCCGGCGGGGAGCACACAACTACTCCAGAGACGCTGCAGGAATAAAGCGGAATGTTAAGAGCGTGCTTTGAGACCTAGAACATTTCAAAATCCATGCTGCTAACACCACTCTATAAACCATCTCAGGCACGAGAATAACACAAGAAAAAGGCCTCAACAAAGTAAATTGTGAAAACATTTCCAGTATGACTTACTTCAGAATTTAACTTGCTAATTTTGAGGAATAAAATACAGATTCCAGCCAAGTCACAGAATAGGCTTCCGTGAGTCAAATTCTATTAAGATCCTCAGGGTCAGATGCAGGGGCTCACACCTGTAATCCCAGCACTTTGAGGTTTGGCTGAGGCAGGAGGATCCCTTGAGCCCAGGAGTTCAAGACCAGCCTGGGAAACATGGCAAAAACCAGTCTCTAGAAAAAAATACTAAAAAAAATTAGCCAAGCTTGGTGTCACACACCTGTAGTCCCAGCTACTCAGGAGGCTGAGGTGGGAGGATCACTTGAGCGCAGGAGGTTGAGGCTGCAGTGAGCTGTGATCGCGCCACTGCACTCCAGCCTAGGTGACAAAGCAAGACTCTTTCAAAAAAACGATCCTCAGAATGAGTCTATCTCCCCTTCCTCAGCCTACAGAGGTCAGTCTCAGGTGTGGGCTGGACAGGAGCCCAGGGATTTCCAAGGACTGTGATCTCCAGGCTGGCCACACAGGTGCATGCAGTTCGTAAAAACACACTAACTCGGGCACTTTGCTGTGTGTCTCATGTGTGAATATGCGCACTCTGTGAATGTGATACCCGAGTGAAGTGTGCAAACCTGCCTAAAGCAGATGCCACACAAGATAACTGAAACTAAAATTTGCAGGCCGGGTGCAGCGGCTCACGCCTATAGTCCCAGCACTTTGGGAGGCTGAGGCAGGCAGATCACGAGGTCAGGAGATCGAGACCATCCTGGCTAACACGGTGAAACCCCATCTCTACTAAAAATACAAATTAGCGGCTGGGTGCGGTGGCTCAAGCCTGTAATCCCAGCACTTTGGGAGGCCGAGACGGGCGGATCACGAGGTCAGGAGATCGAGACCATCCTGGCTAACACGGTGAAACCCCGTCTCTACTAAAAAATACAAAAAACTAGCCGGGCGAGGTGGCGGGTGCCTGTAGTCCCAGCTACTCGGGAAGCTGAGGCAGGAGAATGGCGTGAACCCGGGAGGCGGAGCTTGCAGTGAGCCGAGATTGTGCCACTGCACTCCAGCCTGGGCGACAGAGTGAGACTCTGTCTCAAAAAATAAATAAAATAAATAAATAAAATAAAACTTGCCAACTTTCCAAAAACACACACAAAGCGATAACATTCACGAACATTCTTCTACAGTGACAACAGGCTTTGCTGAGATACAACACTGCCCAGCTGATACGCTCAGAGCCCTCCACGTACGTTAACAAGCTGGGGTCAAATGCTCCCCTTACTACGCTATTAAGAGCAGGTCCAAACCTGGACATGCCAAAGGTGAGCCAGGCCTGTCCTGTGAGCAGCACTGGTCAGCTCTGCGAAACACCAGGCAGTGCCCAGCCCAGGCCTCAACACAGGGGCTGCACCTGACCCCAGGGCTGGGTGGCTGCCCGGGAGCCCATCTACTTGCTGTGGGCCCGTCTACACCCTGTGAGCAGCAAGTAGAGATGTTGCTCCAGCTGCTGGAGACACTGCTCCTGAACAGGGTGGACATGTCACACCCAGCTGCTCCAGTGAAGGGAGCAAGCCAGGACCCCATCGCAAAGGTTGTACATTCAAAATATCCCAAATCCAGCCACACTGATGCCCTGGTCCAAGCCCAACATGCCTCATTGGCCCCACAATACCCCTCACTGGTGTCCCTGCGTCCTTCTCCTCCGCCCCCTGAGTGGCTTTCAAACCAAACCAACCCCTGGTGGCTTTCAAAGCCTCTGGGTCGCCCCCAGGCTCCTTGAGCCTGGGACCTTGTTGCCCAGCCCTCACCCTGAGTTCACTCCATTCCTGCCGGTACAGCCACTCGGCTACATCAAGGCCTGGAGAAGACTCAGTGTCCTCTTTGTAGAGTGTGCTCATCCCCAGATACCCCCATGGCCATCTCACTGACCCACCTAGGTCCCTGCTCCAATGCCCCCTCCTCAGTCTTCCCCAGCCACCTCACCTAAAACAGCACTCCCACCAGCCTCCCTCTCCCGACGGCGCAAGTTCTCTCCACAGAGTTTATTGCTACTGATGTACTGAGATCTACTCAGCTGCCTCTGCACCCAATTCAGCAGCACAAGGATGGGGGTTTTGCAGCATTCAGAGCCATTTCTCCAGCCCCCAGGACGGTGCCCCGGCACACAGCAGGTGTTCAGTGAACCTCTGCTGACAACTGAAACCGTACCGCTGGTCGTTGAGGACAATGTCCGCATCCTGTTCCTGAACCACTCTGGTGTTGCCCAAATGCTCAGCCCTGAAGGCTCGCTCCACGCCACACAGCTGGTCCTCCACCACGTACAGCAAGCAGCAGCCGTTCTCATCCACCACACTCGGCAGCAGTGCTGGGCTCCCAAAGCCCACCCCAAAGATGGCCAGGCCAAGGTGGTCGGCCACCCTGGCTCCAAAGTCGTGAGAGCATCTCAGGCCTCCTCCACGGAGCACCCTATGGGAGGGAGGTTTCGGAAAATCTCCGGCTGGTCCGCTCTGAGGGCACTGCTGGTGTCTTTACTTGGAAAGCAGAAAACACTGAAAGGTGGCCGGTGGAGGTAGTTGGTGTTGCATCCTCCTGGGCAGACAAGTCACTTGTGGTGATGCTGATGGCAGTAGGGTTGACAGGGAGCAGAGACGTGCGGCCCACGGCGGGAGGAGGTACCATGCCAGTGCTGGGACTGCTTGAGAGAATGAGCTGAGGCTGAGGCTGAGGGAGCAAAGGCGGGTGGCAAGGGTGTGCGGGAAGGCCGGTGGCAATGAGATCCGAGGCGGCTGAGCTGGACAAAAGACACATTCATTTAAACAAAGTGGTAGGACTCACAGCACCCAGTCCACAATCATCTCAGAGGATCAAGAGTGGGGAGTCACCCTGCAGACCAGTATGTATCTGGCTTGTGATAAGGCAGCATGCGGGTGGCCACGCACACTTTAACAAAACTGCAAGACTTCACAGGGTTACTCCCCAGGTGGGCAAGCCACTAGCAGATCCTGTAAACGTCGTGTCATCAGGCGGCCTGTCCACATACTTTGGAAACTTTTGCAGGGCAGAGAATCCTAAAATAGCCGGCTGCCCGCTGGGATGTCTCCTGAAATACCAGCATTGGCACTGACACTTACACGAGAATGGGCGTCCGCAGGCCGTGCTGCGGATGAGTCTGCGGTTCCTGCAGTGCCTGTCCGAGGACAGGTGCTCCAGGATGCGGTCCCTGGGCACGCGCATAGGCAGCTCGCAGGCCCTGCAGGAAAGGGTCTCCACCACAGACATGTCCCCAGAGTCGCTGTGCTCAGTCAGGGGCTGCTTCACCACCAGGTCGGTGAACTCCGCCGCGCAGTCGTGCAAAGTCTTCTTTTTCCGGCCCATTGTCGGGTCCGGGATGGAAACGGAGGCAGCCTTGACCCCCGACCGAGGGCCCCGTGGGATCTGCGCTCACCGCCCTGCGAGCAGAGGCGTTCGCGTCGGAGGCCCCACACTTGGGGAGCGGGGAGCTGGGGTCTCTGGTGGTCCCACAGGAGAAGGAGGAGGGACTGAGCAGGTGGGAAGGATGAGCGCTCCCGCGTGCAGCGGTGGCTGGAGTGGGTCCCTCCGAGCTGGAGTGGTCTCCGAGGGGGCGGGTCCCTTAGGGCCAGGGGCCAGGGCGATCCCACCTGGAGAAGCCTCGCGGGCGAGAAGAGGGTCCCTTCCTGCGGGGGCAGATGGAGACGCGGGAGTCTTCCCCGAGAGGTGACCGAGGCCAGTCAGCGGCCCTGGGGGCCCAAGGCCGGGGACTCTCGGCGGCCAGTGGACGGGCAGGGCCGGCCCGCCTGGGTAGGCGGCCGGGTGAAGGTCTCCGGGGCCCCAGGCGGCAACGTGCCACCCGCCGGGCAACCGGCCCATCCCCAGCTCCCATCTGGGGATCCGCACCCGCGCGCCGCGGCGCCGCAGTTTAAAGCCCGTGAGATCCCGCAACAACCCGGATGCGGAAGCGCGGGGGCAGAGCAGGGCGAGGACAGGGGTGGGACCTTCGGTGCAGAGCCGGGGCCAAGTCGAAGGCGGTTCAAGCGGGGCGGGGCTCCGACCGAGGGGCGGGGTCTTGGGCGTGGGGGCGGAGCCTGCGCGGGGCGTGGAGATCTGACGGGTCTCAGATGCACCTGCACCCAGGTGCTCACCGCCCCACCTTAGGCGGTTTCTCTGGGCCCATTATCTCCAAGTGGAGTCGCTCTCCCCACAGGATTTTCCCGATTGGCAAGAGGGTTTTATTTTCTTATTAAGAAAATAAAATTGACTTTGCAATTTACAACTTTTTTTTTTTTTTTTTACAGTAACCAAAAATCTTAGGCTTGTTAGTGTTTGACTTTCCACTTAGTTTTTGTTGTTGTGTTTTTGGTTCTTGGTTTTTGGGTTTTTTTGAGACCTAGTCTCCTTCTATCACCCAGGTGGGAGTGCAGTGGCGTTATCTCGGCTCACTGCAACCTCTGCCTTCCGGGTTCAAGCGATTCTTCTGCCTCAACCTCCCGAGTAGCTGGGACTACAGGCGCAAGTTGAAGGCCCAGGCTGCTTTTCCGTTAGTACAAGGACACAACACCTGTGGGAGGTGTGGGTCCAGGCGAGGGATGCCGAGCTCACACGACCCCTAGGCCTAGGTAGCAAATAGACGCACATGTGCCTTTCACACTCCACCTTCACTTCACACTGGCCCACCCACTCCTTGCTCTGGGAAATGAGGACACAGCAGGAGATACCTGTAGCTAACACACACACACTCTGCCCCCTGCAATGGCCAAACTTCCAGGGCTGCCTCGCTTCTGAGATACATTTTCGGGTGCCACTTGTAGGGTCCAGCCCTATGGGGCTTAGCGGGTGTTCTCCCCGTGTGCAGAGACGAGAGATTGTAATAAATAAAGGCACAAGACAAAGAGATAAAGAGAAAGCAGCTGGGCCCGGGGGACCACTATCATGAAGACGCGGAGACCGGTAGTGGCCCCAAATGGCTGGGCTCACTGATATTTATCGCACACAAGACAAGGGGGCAGGGTAAGGAGCGTGAATCTTATAAGTGATTGATAAGGTGAAGCAAGTCACATGATTACAGGATAGGGGGCCCTTCCCTTTTAGGTAGCCTAAGCAGAGAGATAAGACAGCATACGTCAGCGTTTTCTTCTCTGTACTTACAAGAGAGATCAAAGACTTTAAGATTTTCACTATTTCTTCTACCTCTATCTACTACGAACTTCAAAGAGGAACCAGGAGTACGGGAGGAGCATGAAAGTGGACAAGGAGTGTGACCATTGAAGCACAGCACCACAGGGAGGGGTTTAGGCCTCTGGGTGACTGCGGACAGGCTTGGATGATATCCAGCCTTCCACAAGAAGCTGGGGGTACAGAGTGTTCCCTGACTCCTCCAAGGAAAGGAGACTTCCTTTCGTGATCTGCTAAGTAACAGGTGCCTTCCCAGACACTGGCGCTACCGCTTGACCAAGGAGCCCTCAAGCGGCCTTTATTGCAGGCGTAACAGAAGGCTCACCTCTTGCCTTCTAGGTCACTTCTCACAATGTCCCTTCAGCACCTGACTCTATACCTGCCGGTTACTTCTAGGTTATGTTAGTAATGCAACAAAGAGTAATATTAAAAGCTAATGATTAAAATGTTTATAATAATGATTGATAATTGTTCATGATCATCTCTATATCTAATTTATATTATGACTATTCTTATTCTATTTTCTTTATTATACTGAAACAGTTTGTGCCTTCAGTTTCTTGCCTCAGCACCTAGGTAATCCTCCGCCCACAGCCACTGGCCTGCATTTAAGCCAGCTCCAAACATACCTTCTAGATCTGGGGGAAATCTAGCCATTTTCACACGAAGTGACAAGACTAGAGGCTTTGATTTGTTTGTATAGATTGAATGTCGGTCCCAAGATAAGCTTTCTATTTAATATTGGCTTCTCTATCGATCAAACTGTCACCATGAGTTTCTGGTAACTGAACCAGAAATCGACTTGAGTGGTTTAATAGACGAGGAGTCTGCTGAACAGCATTTCAGAGACCAATGTAAAAACAAAGCACAATACATGTGATTTTCAAACACGCTGGACCTCAGGCCAATGTGACAACATTTCGTATGGTCCAAGTCCCCAAAACAATTAGAAATTGCATGTGGAAGACTACAAAATAATCGCCAAAAGAGAAATTGGCAAAGCAAGAATTCTTTCTCAGTATTTGAGGCTGGTTAAGAGTGCTTTATTTCTTATTAAAACACAGTATGTGTCACTTAATAACAGGGATATGTTTTGAGAAGTGCATCATTAGGCAATTTCATCATCCTGCAGACATCATACTGTGTGCTCACACAAACCTAGGTGGTTTACAGCCTAGTCCACCCCTAGGCTATATGCTATACCTGTTGCTTAGGCTGCAAACCTGTACAGCATGTTCCTGAGTATTGTAGGCAGTTGGAACACAATGGTATGTGTGTACTACACATGCCCAAACACAGAAAAGGTACAGTGAAAATACACTATCAGATTCTTTTTTTTTTTTTTTTTTTTTTTTTTTTTGATACGGAAGTCTTAACTCTGTCGCCCAGGCTGGAGTGCAGTGGTGCAATCTGGGCTCACTGTAAGCTCCGCCTCTCCGGCTAACACCATTCTCCTGCCTCAGCCTCCCGAGTAGCTGGGACTACAGGCGCCCACCACCATGCCCAGCTAATTTTTGTATTTTTAGTAGAGATGGGGTTTCACCGTATTAGCCAGGATGGTCTCAATCTCCTGACCTTGTGATCCGCCCGCCTCGGCCTCCCAAAGTGCTGGGATTACAGGCGTGAGCCACCGCACCCGGCCAAAATACAGTATTAGATTCCTAAGACACTGCCATTGTATTGGTCTGTCATTTGGTCTATCATTGACCAAAATTTCATTATTTGGTATATGACTGTAGGTAAAAAATTCAAATATATACTAGGCCTGTTTTGTACTTTTATATTTAGATGCAAAAAACTGAAAGAGATTTTTGGATGGTAAATATTTTTTATAAAGTCATATTGGAAAGGATGGGGTCATGAATTTCTATGGGGAAAAGAGATTAGATTGTAACTGTGTCTACGTAGAAAACGAAGACACAAGAAACTCCATTTTGATCTGTACTAAGAAAAATTGTTCTGCTTTGAGATGCTGTTAATCTGTAACTTTAGACCCAACCCTGTGCTCACAGAAACATGTGCTGTATTGAATCAAGGTTTAATGGATTTAGGGCTGTGCAGGATGTGCCTTGTTAACAATATGTTTGCAGGCAGTATGCCTGGTAAAAGTCATCGCCATTCTCCATTCTCTGTTAACCAGGGGCACAATGCACTGTGGAAAGCCGCAGGGACCTCTGCCCGAGAACGCCGGGTATTGTCCACGGTTTGCCCCCACTGAGACAGCCTGAGATACGGCCTCGTGGGAAAGGAAAGACCCTACATCCCCCAGTCCAACACCCATGAAGGGTCTGTGCTGAGGAGGAGGAGAGAAAGAGGGAGGCCTCTTTGCAGTTGAGATAAGAGGAAGGTTTCTATCTCCTGCTCGTCCCTGGGAATGGAATGTCTCAATGGAAAACTGACCATTCGTTCTATTCTGAGGTAGGAGAAAACCGACCTGTGGCTGGAGGCGAGATATGCTGGCGGCGATACTGCTCTGTTACTCTTTGCTACACTGAGATGTTTGTGTAAAGTGAAACATAAATCTGGCCTACATGCACATCCGGGCACAGTACCTTTCCTTGAACTTATTCATGACACAGATTCTTTTGCTCACGTTTCCCTGCTGACCTTCTCCTCACCATCACCCTGTTGTCCTGCTACACCCCCCTCACCCAGATAGTAAAAACAGTGATCCATAAATACTGAGGGAACTCAGAGGCCGGCGCCAGTGCAGGGCCCCGCATGCTGAGTGTGCCGGTCCCCCGGGCTCACTGTTCTTTCTCTATACTTTGTCTCTGTGTCTTATTTCTTTTCTCAGTCTCTCATCTTCACCTGACGAGAAATACCCACAGGCGTGGAGGGGCAGGTTCCCTTCAAATTTCCTTCAGTCAGCAAGCAGAGAAGGCTTTCTTCCCACTCAGACCCCAATCAAGGCTTCTGCAAGTAGGGGTTTTGTCTTTCTCTCCTTAAGAGATGTCCTGAGGTAGGCATTTGAAGCCTGGAAAATCATTCCCAGGGAGCCAGACTTCTCTCTCTCTCTTCCAGGAATTTCTTCGCCAAATAGTTCTAATCCCAGAACCCACCCCCTAAACCTTTTCTAATACAATTACTGTCTTCAAGCCAGCACGTGGAGACAGATTTGAGCTGGACTCCTCTGTCCTTGGGAGCTGACTTTTCCTTTTTTCTTTTCTTTACTTTTTTTTTTTTTTTTTTTTTGAGATAGGGTCTCACTCTGTAGCCCAGGCTGGAGTGCAGTGACGCGAACACAGCTCACTGCAACCGCAACCTCCCCAGGCTCAGGTGATCCTCTCACCTCAGCCTCCTGAGGAGCTGGGACTACAGGTGCGTGCCACCATGCCTGGCTAATTAAAAAAATAAATAAATAACTCCTGGGTTCAAGCATTCCTCCCACCTGGGCCTCCCAAAGTGCTGGGATTACAGGAGTGAGCCACCGCACCCAGCCCAGAAGCCAACCTTCAGTACTGAGCTTTGCTCTTCTCAAAAACCTGATGTCACAGCACTGGCCTCCAGCACATCCAGCCGTGGGGCCCTTTTGCTGCATAACGGTTTCTATGGAGACATCTGTGATGCCACCACTGCTCCCAGGAGCCTACAGGACCTGGAGCTCTGGAAGCTGATCTCCTCCCACTGGACCAGCTAGCAGGTTCATGTTCGAGGCCATTTTCCCCTCAATACCCCAAGCCAGGCTGAAGAGATCCACGGGAAGAGCTGGGCCTGTCCTCATTCAGGTCCACATTCAGGCAGCAAAGCTCACTTGGTCTTTGCCTCATGT